CTGATTTATGAGTGTTTTTTGCATTATAAAGATCAAATAGGTATATATATATTCCAGTAACTTCATATACAAAAGTCGGTTTTAAATTCCATGTATGTTCTTGCTCAGATGTTTATTTTTTAATGAACTCCTACAGGTAGTAACACTTTCTTCATCAACAGAATTGCTCTTTGTAGTGTTATGTGCATTTGAGTCCACTACCACGGACTCTCACATGGATTTTGCACGCTTCATTGAACATCTCTGATAACGATTTAGACAAGTCCTAGTCTCCCGACCACCAGTTTTCGCAACATGGTTGATTTCTAACAATTATCTCAGCCTTCCTTTAACATATCGAGGATATATTCCTTCTTAGACAGCATGTAAATGTGGTGTGACCACTTAAATCAATACTTTTGTTTTCCATTATAACTTAGGCTAGCAATAATTCAGAAGTGATATTTTAAAATGATGTATATATTAATGTAATCAGGCGATCTGACGTGTTCTTCTACATATATTAATACCTATTGATTATTACAAGCCATGCATAATGTTCGCTATGGGTTCGACAGCGCACATTCAGTTTCCTCACTGTCTTTTCTGTTGTTAACTGAACTACAAATAAAGTTATCTTTGTATACAACCTGATTAAACTTTATATCTGGATTAAGAATGTATCTCAAACAAACTAAAAAAGAAGTCATGAAACTCATATGATTTTTAGAAATAGAAAAGCAGAGATTGCCTATCACACACAGAGAACAAAATTTAAAAATTGAATGCATTGTGAGCAATTTTACAATATTTGTCAAAAATATAATTGAAATTTAGAAAGGTATGTATCGTGAAAAAGCAATGATTTTGTTTTTGATTCTTTAAAGTAATATTGAATATTTCCCTAAATAGCAAGACGAAAAGAAATTATGGAAATATGTATGTGTAAATAGGTTTTCTAAATTTGCAATACGACATTAACAACTGATATACTAGGTCTCTTGTAACACAGTAGGCATAAAAACATATACTTGTTGGTAATAGCCATGTTTATTACATGTTGAATAATAATAATGTCACATGTACAAAAGCAACATCTCATCAACATTCAGAGTTCATATACTCATACTACCATAACTGTCCATCTGGGCTCCACCAAGGCCGTGTGTTCTAACCTAAACATCCCCCGTCTGTCCATAGAGCTAGTCTATAGAGCTCTGTCCATAGAGCTCTCTTCCCAGGGCTCGATCTATAGGACTCTTTCTGCTCTCCTTCTGCTCTCCTTCTGCTCTCTCTATAGAGCTCTTCCAAGGCCGTTTGTTCTAACCTAAATATCTCCCTCCTTTTATCTTACTGTGGACCAAGCTTGTCCGGCCATCCCCTAATATGGACTTCATTTGTTGCTAGATGATACGATTGTTGAAGTATAGCCAACTGTACTCGAGGTGCAAGGTTGAGATTCCCCCTGCAAATTTGTTACTTGAAACAGACCCTAATAATTACTCTACTTCTAGGTGACCACTGTCTGAACGGGAAATTGCATAAGTTTGATTATCAAGGAAGTGGGGATAATCTCTAATTAATTAACTGGCCGAAGCTGTACACCCACTGATAAGATTCTCGGGGCCCAGACTACACCAGTCTAAATGTATATATGCAAGTAATTATCCACACCCCTGTGAACTACCTATATGTGCTTTATTGATATACTATTGAACATCAAACGAACTATTGTTTAAGCTAACTTATTTCAACCAATCAGTCAAAGATTATTGACTTAGTTACACCAATATCGAAACCACATTTTGTAACAATATATCTAAACCCTATTTTGTTACACACTGCTGTCATATAAAAGGGTATTCCGATTCAACCATTGGTTGAAACCATTTGATACCAGTATCAAAATGAGTGTATTTTTATACTGTACACGTACCTGATACCACTATCAAAATAACTGTATATTTGATAGTTAACACATACCTGATACCAGGATAAAAATAATTTTATTTGTATAGCTAATACTTACCTGATCACATTATTTGCATGTGTGTATATGTTTCACTTAAAACATACTTTTTACCATAATTCAATAATTTATGCCGAATATCGTCATTAACATTTGTGTATTATATGTTGATACTTTCATGTATCTATAATTTACATGTATGGATATTAATACGTAAGATGTACCTGATTACATTATCCAAATATGTGTTTATTTGACAGCTATGAAGATTTTGATGACAAGGCTCGTGTGTTTAATCAATAGATAAATCCCCCGACCATAGACAAACGTCAATATGAATTGATCGAGATCAATATATCATGCGTATGTAGATAGAATTCTTGTAAAATGTAATCAGGCAGAAATTATTGTCATAGTAAATCGATACCAGAATATCTATAAAATGAAAAGAAAAATGGGTTACCGTTGAGGTTTTGAATACAATATTACCATATGTAATAATGCCCATGCAATAGTTTGTCCGTAAGTAAAGTCTGTTATGAATCTTTAAGAATACTTATCGAGATTGTCTTACCTGCAATAGCGGAAAAGGAACTCAAAAGATATTTTGGAAAGGTAGGCTGGTGGAAGGGACAATAATGTTTTGCTACCAAATAATCAAAACTCGGAACGAGAAAAAAAGTATTATAGCCTCTTTTCAGAAGGTAGCATCATCCAGCCTCACAAACCTACCATTGCGATATTTTGAAATGGAATTTGAAATTATATTCATACAGAACATGCTTTCAAAGTAGCTATTTAATGTGATAGAGGAGAAACACTAAGGGTTTCTTAGAGATTCATATTAATGAAGCCAACAGGCGAGCAATTGTCGTGAATTTATAGTAAAATATTCTATTTCCATGTGTGATCGGACGTTCGATTTATCCTATGGTTGTAAGTATGCAAATAGTTTTGTGTATAGTTATTTATAATTTTACTTCGTTTTTAATCTTGCTTTTATCAATATACCGGTTTGATGTTTTAGGACAAGAATTGTTATCTTATCTGTTACCCTATTTTTACTGCCTAGATTGGTTGAAAAAAATGGGGAGTGCAGTTTTGTTCAGCGTTTCATATGTATTTATAACTATTTATATTTATAATTTATATATATATAATCAATAAATCTTTTCCATTTGTAAAACTCTCTATCAATAATTTAACTGGCGACACCTAGACTGAAGAAACAGGAATATGAAGTAGTTTAATTGCATATTCAGCTGTACTCTAATTATTATTTTCTTTATGAAAAAAATGAGTGTGTCTCGTATAAACATTTTGTTGTAAGATACACAAGGGGGAAATACAACAATGAGAAATAAATGAAGGGCAGATAATCAACATTTACTGGTATATCAATATTTCAGTCGCCAAGAGATTTTTTCTTTTGATGACATTCGGATTGTTCGAGTAAATTTTCATCAACAGTGCAATTGGAATTGTGTACCTTTGACTACCAAAGATGTATTTCCAAATATATATCCAATATACCATTTAGCGCACGAACCGTGATATTCTGACTCCATTAATAAACATTCGGAAACTCTCTAATGAAAATGTTCATTTACATAACACCTCATATGAAACCATCCTCTATATCATCTTACACCAATGAGCAGACATTCTGTAATTTTTTACATTTACATAGGACTCAGTGTTCGTGGTTTTCAAACAATCACAACTTCTTGGACATTTGATTTCATGGATTAGTATAGCTCAATAGAGGTACTGATACTGATCATTACAGTGAATCGAAATATGAATTATTTGATTTAGAGTATCCACGAAATTATCAAAAACAAAACATGCATAAGCAGATTTATTGAACTATGCTTACCCACGAAATCAAGTGTCCACGAAAAAAAAAATCAAAACAGAAATGAAATGCGGGAAAACTATCAATCTAAGATAATATGAAACAGGCTATACCTGGAGGGACAGTATTGTTTACATACTGGTCATTATATCATCACTTGCCTGTTTTGTAGTAATATGTTTAATTCATACATACGCACAACACGGCAGAATACCTTTTACGAGAAATGTTATTGAATTTGAAAATTAGAGATTTTCATTGCAAACACTAACTCTTATGAAGACGCAAATGATGTTCCGATTGTTTAAATACCAAGTTAAAATTAATATTCACATTTAAACATTGAGTGGTTACATGGCGCAGTATTCCCACATTTTTAACAAGACAGTCAGGGTTCGATACGGGGAAAATCACGTAATCGGGCATGTGTAATGGGTCACCTGCACGACCATGTGGTTTTCTAGCAAGTACTCTCATTTCCGCGAATAGTAAGGTCTCTCCCAAGCATCAGTCGAGCTAACAAACGTGATAGATTGTTTCGAATCGTTGTAAAATGTATCATTATTGTTTAATCTTTTAAATATTCTGCAGAGCAAAGAGTGCAAAAATGTCCCAAACTAAGACCCCTCGAACGCTTCCATCCGACCCAACAAGAGTGATTAATATAAGCTGGAAAGACTTGACTCGCAATTGTTGTAAAATAAAATTTATTATCATAAGTAAAAATCAGAGTAAATATTTTGTAGAGTGCACCTGTAACTTCCAAGCGGTGCTCCTAATGGCTGAAATATCGCCGTCTTTTCCAAATATGTTTCCTTTGGAAAACGTTTGGTTCGTCAGGCCTGAAATAGACCAAACCATTAACCATGAAGTTTATCAGTATTAACATCGTATATACCCACCAGACATATTCTACGCTTATCTCGATTTTTCCTACTACGAAACCATAGTGTATCAAAAGATACAGGTGGATGAAAATAATGCGAAAGCGATAATGTTAAACAGCCAGACCAACCCATAACATGTATCGTCATCAAAATGGGAATTCTATATCTAAAGTGTGGTTAAAAAAGCGATATATTTCTACATAATTCGAAATGAGCTGAAATCGAACTCACATTGTTACTTTTATATAAAAAATATACATTTGGCAACATCAGTTCACGAAACAAAGATATGTTACTTAATTTACAGAAAATGACTGGGAGCTGGTCTTCAGAGCTCAGGCCTACAACAACATCAGTCCTTATAATGCCTGGATGGGGACGTTGTCTCTACCAACATTAGTGGAAGAGGGTTGCCTGCTATTGATGAATACATCCACGTGTACAACCATATATAGAAACGACATTCTGAACACATGGGATTCGGAGAGTATTTCTGAGGCAAGTTTAACATCAGCATGTTTATGTGCTTATTTTATTACTTCTCACCCCTGTTTTAAAAACAAATTAAATTTGTAATTGAATCCTCGTAGTAGGCATCCTTAGGTCGTCATAGATTGCACGAAAGTGAATAGCACCATTTGATACCAATATTGAATTCGATAACATAAAGTTGATTAATAAAGTTTACTTAATCATACAGCTGTTTTGTCCTTCTAGCATATATCAGTGATATATTTGATAAATTAATGTATTTGAAAATCCACATAGCGACGGTATTATACCAAAAACAAATGAATACATAAAGGCGTGGTCAATAAACCGCATGTAATTCAAATACAAGACGTCATCAATATATTTGAAAGTGAAATTACAGGATTTTGCAACGTCTTTGTGGCTGATTTGATAGGCCTTTTCGATAAATTACACCTCTTTTAAAAAAACCTCAACCAGCAGAGGGAGACAATGAATTCCCATATGTTTGCTAGTAGTCTTAAGATCTTACAATTAAACTCGACGACGATATTCGTTATCGTTCTCTAGCGAACACTAACCTGTTAACATAATCATAATCCGAACTCAAATTCAACAAACCTAGTGGGAAATATGGACAAAAGAAAAAAATACTGGTAAGATGAAACGATGCGAAAACTTTCACAGAAGCGGTAACGGTCTGTATACCTTAAAAAGCAAGTAGAGCTAGAGAGCCAAAGTTTCGCATTTTATTTGTAAAAGAAATATCCATGATAATGCCATTTCTCGCTGTTTACCAGACAGCTTTAACAATATCCAGTAACAATGTTAATGTGGTATCCGTCAGGTCAATATCATTCTGATTAATTTCATATCGTGAAAATGTGTCCAATGTATGTAATCACTTGCTAAACGGAGACAGATTGAATTATCACTCGACGACGAAATTGGACATGTTTTCCTTAAGGGATTGTTTATCATTTCACGTTGACTTTGTGATGGAGGTATCGTTGGACATTCCGTGCACAAATCGACTGGGATTTATTTTAACTGTGTGAACGTTCAATTTGTCATAAATACGAAATTCAATATGGGATTTATTAATGCTTATCGGAAAAACTTGCGCGTTCCTGATTGTGATTTATCAGAACGAAACTTGGCATCTTTGTTTAGAAATTTGTGCTGTTATTCAAGTTTAACCAAGATTTCAAAGCATTGACATCGTTATTCATATTGCTACCAGCTCGTGATTTCATGATCAAGAATGTGGCTTTTTTTTTACTAGTCCATTTAATTTAACAAATATTAAAACACCTATATTTTTAAAGCAGGACTTTAGAAAACGTGATGTTTACTTTGATATTTTGCTATGCTGTATCAAACTCCAAATCCACGTTATTTACCAGTGTTTGGTTTTCTAATTCCTATATTTTATGTGCTATGTTTGGGTCTCGTCCATAGTATTCATCTCATGTCTTTTAGTCTTTTAGTTTTTGTTTTTTGTTTTTGTTTTAATTATTTTGTTTTTATTTTTGTGGAATTCAAGTCTATATTTGTGCTGTATTTAAGTCCATATTCTGGGCTTTGAAATCATTTACTCTCCGTACGCATGCATTCGCTTGGTGGTTTTGCTCATGATATAGAAGAGCCATCTTCAATTTTCAAAGCACTTCAAAGGCATTTCTAAAATACACACCAAGTAGGAAACCTTAGGATATCTTATTCTTTCCTTTGCGTCAATAACTTCAATTTATTGACAGGTAAAGCTGGAACTCTACCAAGCCGGTGTCACTGTAGTAAACATCCGATTTAATGGTACAGGATCGAATTATACTGACTGGTTTAGCATCGACCGATTGATAGACAGTAGTTGGGATGCCATGTCTAAAAGTCGCGACTTTAATCACTTTACACTTTTGGCGTAAGTTTTTGATAAATTGGAATAAAAATTGTTATTATGTTGTTAATGGTATACTTATTTGAGTCTATTTTAAATTTCTCGTCATAAAAACGAGCAAATTTTCTCGGTATAACCGAATTGGCACTAAAATAAAATAAATTATTTCATTTTCTTGTTTCATTCTTTACTGTAAATTGCAACAACAATGTTGAGATATTGCATTTGATGACCACGAAAGCAAGTATTTACTGATAATTTGATTTATTTTTTTATGAAAGCCCATATGATGTTATATAAACCATGAATGTTAATAGACAAATAACAATTTATGTTTGCTTATTTATTGATGCTTATGTTTAATCACATAGGACAGAAAAGAGGAGATTTTTCATCAACCAGAACTATGGTGGCTGTCCGAATGATGTTGGTTGGATGGCAGTGATAGACGCCGGTTCGAACATAGCAGGGTGTGCTTGGGATTCCATGCTAATTAGACCAGCATTTTTGTTTGCTAAAGGAGAAGATGCTACACGATGGATGCAATTTGGTAAGATTATCAATACAAGTAACTTCTGCTTGGTACAGAAGAGGAAACGGTTGGAGTGCAAAAACATTTTCGACTGTCATTTCTGTTTTTTAAAGTTTGGTATTGGTGAAAAGAAAAGAAAAATTATAGTATTGGGAAAAAAGATATTTTTCAGAGATCTGGTGAAATTTCCAAATTAATCAATATCACTGTATATATGTCCAACGTCATTGATAGCTTTTGTCTGATACATGTTTGCTTAACATTAAAAACTTATCTCAGTGTAAGGTATATGACACAAGTGAATCGTCAGTGGAAGTATTTGTGAAAATTAAGAATTAGATAGGTTATAGGAAAATACGAACTGCTTCATTCGGCTACTTTGTTGCTCTTGTTATTGACGTAGCTGCTAAGAACCTGATAAGGAAAGATCCGAAATAGACAAAACAAATATCGAAAATCCAATTGAATTTTATAATTGTAATGTTTGATTTCAAAGGACATTTAATACCACGATGTTTAGGTCACACATGACAAATAGCTAAGAGGGCTGATTGATAAGTTGTGAGCCTCATATTGAAAGGTTTGACTTTTGGCGGACATTTTACATCATTTCTAAACACTATCCCCATCATTACCTATACACTTTTTTTGCTTAAGGGCCTCAATGCCACTTTAAAAGAAATCCTTTTCTTGCCCAATAAAAAGGTCCACCGCTGCATGTATGATGTCATCATCTGACCGAAAGTAGGTACCGGAAATTACCTTTTTCAATTTTGGAATTATATTTAAGTTTGATAGAGCGCGAGCGGCGAATTAGGCGGATGTTCAATCAATTCAAAGCCAAAATCATTAATGGCAGCCATGGGAATGGCAGACTTGTGGACAGAGACATTGTCCGGGTGGAATAGCACACCTTTGCAGAGTTTTCCGAGGTGCTTGAGTTTAATATTTTTTTCTTAACTATTTAAGAAGTGATGCATAATATATTTCATTGAATCAGAATATCATCAGAATCCCAGAAAACCGCAGCCATAACTTTTCCAGCAGATGGCACAGTATTTGCCTTCTTGCAGGGGTTAACTAGGGTGTTTTCATTGTTTACACTGTTGTTTGACCTCTGGGTGAAATGATTGAAGCCCATTTCATACATAGTCACAAACATCTGCCTCTTAAAGTTTAAGATTAGCACGCGACTAAGTCCGCCTGGTGTCTTGTTACCCAACGGGCTGACAGCTTTCTCATTGAAAGATCTTCAGTAGTAATGGAACGTACTCTTTCTTGTTAAACCCAACTATACTGACTATAAATCTCTGCGCAACTCGCCTGTCAGCTATTACAATATCATGGACTTTATTTCTTGGGATTCAACAGTTACAGACCTTCCAGGACGGATGTCATTCACAAGGCTCTCTCTGCCATACTTAAATTCCGCCACTCATATTTTCACTGTAGCATATGAAGGAACAGTGTTGCTACTATATCGGTAAAAACAGGCATTTCTAATGCAAATATTAAATCACTTTTCTTTCAGCGATTTTGTCCATTTTGCAAAAGTCACTTGCCTTGTTTACTTTAGAGTGCTTTCTCTTCGACATAAACTGACCAAGTTAGACCAGTCTTTGGGTACACAGTCTGAAATAGTCGGGAAATTTTAGAACTGAAAAAGGGCATCACTACTTCTTCTTTAGTACAAGGCACATAACTTATCAATCGGCCCCCGTAAATTATTCGAAATATACATTTTCATCATGACAAACATTGTGGTTGTTAAAATCTTTATCCTGTATAAAGAGTATGTTTCTGTTTTATCATCAAACGTTTTTCTTTGTGACTACAACTAAACATTAATAATTCCTTCATCGAAAATTATATATATTTATATTTTGTGAAAGGAGAAATATATGACTCAGGTCTTTTGGCAGTAGAAAGTTTATTTAAACAGGTGGGGTAAAAGTTGATATAAAGCCAATCCGGGTGGAAAATAAGTAGTGTGGGGCCCGTTAGGGCAATTGCTGTGATTTCGTGATCGAACAACCACGAAAATTATAATTGGAAGTCGATCATGTCAGTAAGTGACGACATCTTGTTTGTTACAGATTTTACCGTTGTACTTTGGACTGTCAAATCGACGTCTACTGTAGCAGACGATTTCGATAAATTTTGTAATCTAAGGTGAAGGTCTGCTTTGTCAGGTAGAGATCGCCATTTGTTATCAATTCTCTGATAAAGACTTTCCATTCATACCGCCAAACACATTTCTTTGTGGCCACACCTCAACAATGTTTAAAACGTCCACGAATTTATCGGTCGAGAAAGATCGATACAAACACCGTCTACTGTCATCCATCTTGAAACAAACCCTCTTAATGTTGTCCGTTTGTTTTAATGACATGTTTACTTTCAGATCACGGCTTTGCAGATGTATTAGCAGTGTTCATCAAACGTTGACTCCGTTCGACTACCACCCACACCACAGTCAGCTAATGGAAATGGAAAACCAGCTCTACATACTAAAACTTGCTTTCCTGTATTTATAATCACATCGTATTTCCATCTTTTAAGATCAGATAATTCTAACCTAACCATGGTTGCAAAAAGAATGCTGCCTTTTACGTGTGACAATGAAAAAACGACCACGTGTTACCGAAGTGAAAGCGTCTTCTGTTACGACAACCTCCATAAAAACATAACGATTAATTCCGTGGATACCAGATACATGAAGAACGGGAAATGTCGTCTTCATACCTCACAGAAGAATGGAACACTTTGTTATGAAACAATGACGACGGCTTTCAAATTATTTCACACAGACTTCATAAAAAAGATAGCAAACATATCCAATGCGAAAAAATGAAAACACATGTCTAAAGACAGCATTAACACCTGATGTAATGTAAAGTTGTCAATATAAACAGGAAACATGGATTTATTACAGCCTTAACACCTGATGTGATGTAAATTTGTCTGTATAAACAACCAACATGGGCTAATTACTGCAGTTTCAGACGTTTAATGTACAATATGCGGGGACAAGTCATTGGAAAATGATTGGTCCCTATTATTACTGTAATGGTGTTATTGATACATTTCTTCAGGTTATATCAAAATTACCAGATATTATGGAGCTTTGATGACGAAGATGAATATATGTTAGCATATTTGCGACATTGGAAGATGTTATCACTTACTTTATACGGTAGCAGCTCTACCACTTTCTCGATGTTGATTTGATATATTAACAAACACTTTGGTGAAAACCTTGAAAACCAAGAAGTAAGCTTCATAGATAATAATGAAGCAAGTCTGCCATATCTGGTAGGTCACACCCAGTAACAATGGAAAACTGCGCATGTGTGGATACATTTCTGAGTACCAATCTTAACACGAACGACACTGTCATATTAACAAAGTACTCGCGTTACAGTGTTGATACTTGGGACATCCCAATACCTGTTAATGTAAATTAGATTCGAGATTATCAAACTCAATTCATCATCAAAAGTTTTATTGTCTTCAATATAAATAAAACGTGTATCCAACGTTTATTAAAGGGACATAACTCCAGCAGCTTCAATCGGAAGATAGATTGCGTATATTTCGGGGAGTTAACCTTGTAAAAGGTGTGTAAGAACATCTAATTCAGTCACGATGTACTCAGATTTGATGTCGTATAATCGTTACATTACATTATAAGTACGTATTTTATAATTTTCTTTTTTAATACATTCTTTAAATAGCGTTCGCTTCCGGGGGAGGTTTAGGCATTGAAGACAATATGTCGTGCATATTTCATACCGAGGATCCACAGAAGAACAGTAATTCCATTTCAAATAAGTCTATCCGGAGTCTTTTTCGTGATAAGTTTGTACTTGGTGGAATTTAGTTAGTCCTATATAATTCCAGTCATCGTGAAAACCGCGTTTAATGATATCATAACAAGAATTTCACTTATGTCACTATTGTAACTGTCATGTTATCGGCCCTTGTTTGGGTGAACAACCGCTCTGGTGGAAGATTTCAAAGTTGTTCGCAAAGTGGCAGCTTTCTTTACTGAGGTCCTGGTCTTCTCGTTAAACACCTTGAGCTTACTGTCCTCGTCGGTTGATTTCTGGCAGATGAAGCAGCCTGGGTTTCTTGAAGTGTCATTCCCCTGGAATGGGAGGAGACACTAGTAAATCTACAACCTGGGGGAGGGGGGCCTTTGTTGAACTAGGGACAAAATCGCAAAAGTTGGACTGAATTTAGGCATTCTTAAATGTCATTTCTAATTGCGTCTATTTTTGTGTTTGAGTGTTGTGCATGAACCTCTCATTGGAATTTGATGCTGATTAGTGCTGTACAATTCTACAAGTTTCTATTTTCGACAGCTCTTTCGATGCACCAGAACTTCATTTGGCATTGCGTTTTTGTACAACTATTTTTGTCTTTTAGCAGTGTGGGATTAATATTAATTTGAAACTTGTATGACAAATAGACAATATCATGAAGTAAATAGACAATATCATGAGTGAGAAGCTTGGCTGAATTATGATGTATAGTGTTCAAGATATTAAAGTTTCAACTTCAGGACGCCATCCACCATCCATCCTCTATATTATAAGCCACCACAGTACCTGTTCAACTGGTGTTGTTATTTAAAGTGATTGTTGATGGAGGGTCTCCTCAACCATCATTCCATCTGTCTCCGTGTTTTCTGCATCCATACTGATGATGATAGCAGTTTTTGGTAGTAAAATGCTCAATCTAAAAGAAATTAAAAGAAAATAATACCTCCCTAAATATATTGTATTTAAATTTCCAGGCACACTTATTATTAATATTACTGTTATGCAGTCACGTGCCTTTCAAAAGAAACTTCAGAATTATCACACTAAAGCCTAAACAAATGTCTGTGAATTGATAATTGTATTTTTTCTGTATCTCAACCTCCCTATAATCGTTGAGATACCCTGCCATACATGTATCTGGATTTTCTTTTTCTATGGATTTTCTGGAATTTCAAATTTATGATTTTGAAAGGAAAAGATAGAAAGAAAAAGAGAGATAAAACAAATCTCTACTATTATGACTTAAGGGATTTTTAGATAGTAAGAACATTATTTAATCTCAGCAAATTTTACCCGCAAATATGAAAGAAATCAGTAATATAACCAACACATTTGTGGCAAGCACAATTACTGTATACATGGACTTGTAATATACTGTTTTCCCCAACACAATAGAGTGAAGCCAATTTCTTTGTATAACAAGAAAGGAAGCTGACATAAAGAAAATGAACGTTTGTAGGTAAATAATGACATGTTCAAGTGAATAGTGAACATTACTGTATAATCTATCTACCGGGAAACAATATGCTAAACAATGACTGATCATCAACATGGCCGACGAGATGACCAAACGGGACGAGGTCGGTCACAGTAAGGATGTGCACAACACGCGAAGATTTGTCCTTCAGCATCAGTTAACCGTTGGTGGTCCATGTCTGAAAAGTTTGGCGCGAATTTACCAACTTTCTCGCTTGAATAGCTAACTCACTTTGGTACTTTGCAAGGTCCTCGTTTACAGACACAGCAGCGAACTCTGGACAGTCGCGAAAGGCTTTGCTAGATTTAAGGAGCTTGAACTTCGCGTCCACCGATTTGAGGCGCACGATAATTTGCCTTGGCCTAGTAGAGGTCTGACAGCCGCCGGGCTGTCTGGATTTCCCAACGCGATGGGATCTCTCCACATCTGTGAGGTTCAGGTCCACTCCAGCAGCACCGACGGCAGCCATGACCTTGGAAGTGGTGTCTTCGTTATTGTCCTCCGGAATTCCTAAGAATCGAACTAAGGACCTTCTCTCATATCCTTCAACATCATCAATCATAAGGCGCAGATGATGGTTCTCGAGTAGGGGTATAACCTGATTATAGAGCAGGAGCCCACAGGGGTCAGCCTAGCTGGAAAGGTAACAAAATTTGTTGTGTACAACAAGGATCTATATACTTGGGCAAACAAAGAAATGAAAGTCTGCCGGTCCCCTGCTGGTGGGTGTGGTCCTCAGGGGCAGGATAACACATGGAAAATTTGAGCTAGCTTAGCTTTCATGAGTAACAAAGAAAAATAACTCAATATGTAATAAGCGTGAATAAGTGCAGTAGAAATGACCAATGACAGAATATTTTCGTAGTGGGGTACCCCTGCCAGAGCTCAAAAAGGCCCCAAAAAATCATGCTAGCTCAGCTCATGGGGCAACAACTTAAAACCAGCCTCAAATTTATCAGTGGGACCCACTTTAACAGAAAAGAGCAGTGACAGACATTTTCACTGGTGGGGGGTCTGAGCCAGACACCCCAAAGTACCACGCCCTACAGCTGAGCTAGCTCAGCTCATGGGGTAACAACTTAAAACTAGCCTCAAATTTATCAGTAGGGCCCACTTTAACAGAAAAGAGCAGTGACAGACATTTTCAGTGCTGGGGGAGGGTCCGAGCCGGATGCCCTCAAAATACCTTGCTGATAGAACTACTTCATCATGCATGCATGACTTTTTAAACCTTTTTATTTGCTCCAGCCCAATGGATATATCAAAACATTACCTAATATTGCATTGAATATCCTCTCAGGCATACATCGTGAATAACTAATCCAATGGGTTTTTTTTCAACCAGAGTCAGTGAATCCATCATAGATACAATCCTAATTCAAAAGGTCATACAGCTTTTCAAGAAAAAGTAATTAATGCCAGTTGTAGCGATAAGAGAGATCCCGTTGCATAGGCCACAGCATGCAACAGCATGCACTGTGTAGCCTGTCCAGACTAAATTTTAGGGAGAGTACGATAGGTACATGTGGTCCTGGATGTTCTTGTCCGTATTTTGTTTTTCCCAATTTCTTCTCCATCATCACTTGATTTCACGAAACAGAGTATATGTAACACAAGAGTCAGGTGAGTGACATTACATTAGACTTGCTAAAGTTCACCAATTTGACTTTGTATTAAATGTTTAGCTCTTATTATCTGGTAAAAAAACTGGGATTATAGCCTTACGATCAGAGACCACAGAATTAGCGTTGACTGGATTTAAATGAAAAGTCAAAATCACAGTTAAAAAAATTAATTAAAATTATTCTATTGGAGATCCCATTTACAATGTGCAATACCTGTTTACAAGTGAATTATGTATATTCGCTGAATTATATTATTATTTTTTTCTTTCTTTCCTATTATTTACTTCTCTATTTGTTTACTGACACGTTCTGTAATGAACTATTAATTATTGAAATATGTCTCTGATTTAGGGAACACATGTGTCCTAAACTAACTACAATTACATAACGGAAAATGTAATCTGATCCGTTTACATGTAGTATTTCACATGATTGTGCTATTTACTTCTATTGTCAGTGTAATCAGACAAGTGAACTTTCACTTTCATTTTCGGTACATATCGCTTTGTATAATGTACC